AATTAAGATTATAGTTAAAAAATGAAAAAACGAAGTTATTTTGTATTTATAACGCATCATTTATAAGCAATACCATGCACTTTTTTTATTGAACTAAAAAATCTTAAATATTCCGAGCTAGAAAATTTCGTCAAGTATTAACAATGTTTCAGTGGGTACCACTGAAATTTAACATTATAAAAATACGTTATATCAAATCCAAATTTTTATTAAGCGATATTAAGGCGCAATTTTTTATACGGATAGCTTTAGACCATCTAAAACGGTTGGATTTAATTAGAAAATTTAAACGAAAGCAAGAACGTATTGGTTTTCACAGCACGGCTATTGTAAGTGAACGGCAGATGGACACGTGTGACGTCAGTTCGTGAATAATCACGTGACTCCCCGTTTCAGGCGAAAACGAAAGTAAGCGTTTTTTGATTGGAAATAACTAAATAAATAGCCTTCTTAGAAAAGTAATAAAATATTTTCTGGGAGTTTTGAGGGATTCTGAATGCATTAAAATTAAAAAAAAAATTGACTGTAATTGTCCATTCCTTGACCGTTGCTTTGTAAGAAGTAATTACTGTGAAAACTCAAACATTCTACATTCAAGCTACTAGGTACAAGTCCCTACCAACTACTAGCCCCCCCCTTCATCTAAGAAACTGATCCATATTTAAGAAATCACAAGAAGCCGTCTAGGAAAAATTAACTGGATATGTAGAAAGGCAGTAGAAATTTCATTGCCCAGTGCAATAGCATGTATAGCAAGTTTTCTGTCAAAGATTTGATTTATAACATTTTCCTATTTTCCTTCTTTTGTGATTCCAATTTCTTTTGTACTCTTACTGACATCAGGAAGGTAATTACCCTCCCTAAGTGTAGAAAGACCACCTTACTTGACAAGATTGTGATTATCTCTTATCTCTGAACTATTTTCATGTCATTTTGCTATTGATTCATTCCCTTAAATATCTAATCAATTTTACATGTTCAATTTAAGGTTCAGGAAAATAAAAAATTCTGTTTAATAAAAATAATAAATAAAAAATGAAGGAAAAAAAAACAAATTTTAAGCAATTTTCACGCAAGTCAAGACATATTGAGAAATTCGCAGATTTTAGGAAAAAAGATGACAATTTCGGGGAAATTATCGCCGCGACAAACCTGCAGCCCTAACCATAAGATATTCAAAATGTTGTAGTTATTTTTTTTTAATTCTAATAATATAACATAAATTACATATCACTATCCACAGCAGCTATATTATTTTTTTAAGAATGATTAAATAGCTCATAAATAGCTGGGCTTTTTTTTAAAAAGAAAACATTGTCTAAAACGTCAATTATTGCCGGAAATATTTGTTGGTGATCATTTTTGCATGCATCATTCTGTACACAATATCAGTTTGAATCATTCTTAACTTTAGTCATATTTTATCCTATATTTGAACGGGTCTTTATCTGTTCTGTTGAAAATTTTGCCTCTACTCTTCACTCTGAAGTACATCTATTCTCACGCACTTCTATCAATAAGTCATCTTTTTTAAAAACTCATTACTTGTGGCTAATGTATTGCACGCTATAGCTCTTATGTCATCAATTGTAGCTTTATTTATCAGATTTATCTATCACTTGCTTACCTTTCACAATTTCTTCATAGCTAGTTGGAATTATATAGATTTTAATGTAAGTTCTTTCTTTAAGGTAAGCAATTTTTTTTGGTATTATTTTCACTGTGCCAAGATATGTTTCAAGTTATTTGAAATAAATCTGTTTATTTTTTCCTTTTTTTAGCTTATTGGTGATTAACAAAGACTAAATCACTTGAATATACAGTGATTTGTTTCCTATATATTTTTCCTACTCTATATTGAAAGAAAGAAAAAAACTATTTTGAAAAGTTCTCCATCAAGAATCTGCCATTCATTTTTCTTCTTCTTGTCTATCATTAGTCATTACTATTTATACAATTTCTAACATTTTTCTTTTTCTTCTTTTTTATAAGACGTGATGATCTGGCAACAATCATATGCATTCCCTATATCAATTAATCCTTTTGCTAAACTACTTATCATATTATCCCTAGTATTTTTTGCTCTTAATATAACACATTTTAAAATGTCAACATTAGTTGGGAGCTATAATTTGTTAAAATTTAATTCTTCATCATTCCAGATTTATTTATCGGAAAATTTATATATTATATATAGGTGTGTCTGTGTAACATTAAAAGTTTCAACTAATCTTTTTATGTTATTCCTTTTCTGCAAATCTTTTTCCTTACTTATTATTTAAAACGAAATGCCCCTTCTCACACTTTAATATTCACATCCTGTCTTTTAATCTATTTTTAGTTCAAGTAAGCATTAATTACCATTTTGGGCAAGTATCCGTTTAATTAATTTGTGTGAAAGACTATTTCCCTGGACCTATTTAATAGACCAATTACAATTAACCCTTATTCCCTAAAATGAAAAATTTTACGGATTTACTTTGCAAGATTTTCTCTAACTATTATTGAGGAGCACAACGATTTTGTATCACTTTTGATAACTTCTCTCTGTCTAATAATTATTAAATAAATTTTGTGTTTTTATCCTTTTACTCAGCAACGAAGTTATATATATATATGTATATATATTGTTGATGAAAATAAACAAAATAATAAATGCAGGGTGAGATTAATAGAAAATAAACATATCATAAATTTCTAGCATCTAGACAGCTCTTAACCACATTTGAATTCTCTAAATACATTTTCTAACATATTATATGCATATATTAATATATATATATAGTTATGTGTAAGTAATATAGTCAATTGTTGATAATAATTAAGTTGTAATATGGCCAATGATTTATAAATTATTATATTCATTTTCATTGTTAGGCACTTCAATCAAACCCCAATTCCATGGCACTTTTATTTTTATCAACTCCCGTCAAGTTGAGATTTGTTAGCAGAATAATTTTGGTTTTAAGATTGGAAAGCAGCGCCACGGCCGCTCCCTTCAACCAGAGATGAATTCACCCAGCAATCCGCATCCAATAGGCGGAGAACATTAACAGCGCAGTTTCCCTCTTCTTTCATTCATACACTGTTTTGTCTGCTACGTGTGAGAGACAAAGAACAAGCTCTTGCCACAAGGAGGAATTTTAATTTCTCTCCGGAGAAACATCGTCAGATGGATACGTATCTATCTGAAATATGAAATTTCTTTTTCTCCTTTAAATTTAATAAATGTGTTGGGAATTCCAACTACATTCATTAATCTTATCACTTTATTTCATCTCGTAATCGCATGATCATCACATGCTCAATGTCCTCTTCTTTAATAAAAATGATTTATAATCTTACTAATATAGAAATGAATAAAAGTAAGTTTTTCACTCTCAATGCGGCAACACTTGGTAGTCTGTATTCCGAAGGAAAAAATTGTGTTTTTTTTAGAGAAAAATTAGTTAACTCTTTATGTGTCGATAAGTTTAAGTCCTTTTAATGAGATTTTTACAGAGCATTAAAATGAAACAACAAAATATCCTTTTGTAACTTATCTCTCCTAGTTTTTCCATTTATCATTACAAGGCGACAACCCACATTACAAGGCGTATGTATAATTGACATTACTTAATTGGAAAAAAAAAAATTTGCACAGCTTTGATAATTTCAAAAAATTTGGTAAATAAGGAGTTAAATTTATATATTGCTAATAAGGAGTTGAAATTTATTAAAATATGATACTAACAGTTGAAAAGTAATATTTTGTTGTTATTAAAAAGAATTTACTTGACACAGATTAAGGAATACAAGGAAATGCAACAGTATCAGTTCCCACTAGCTACAGCAGTTATGGCGTCAAAGAGGTTTTAAACTTGCAAAAATTATTTTTTTAAAAATGTGAGGTTTACTTGTATATGAATTTAACCCTTTGAATGTGTCTCATTCTGGGATAATTTTTATAATTTCTTGTTAGTCACGGCCCAGAAGTCATCAAAAAAATTTTTGATCATTTCTGTGTAGAAATCGATACGAAAACTACTCGAGTTCTACGGTATACAAATTTAAAACAATGATTTGAAATAAAGAATCACAATTATTTAATACAGCAAATATTTATTGCCAGTAAAAACAAGGAAAAATTAGAGAGTAGAAGTTAAAATATGTTTTATCGCA